TTTATAACTAAAAACAGAATCTTTAAAAATGTCATTTCTACTACCTGAATACATAGGACCTCCAACTAACAGTGTATGGAGTTATCTGTAAACCATTCTTCTCTTCCTTCTAATTGAATCATTTTTATTATGTTTGTTAAAGAATTGAAGCGGGCTGGCATGGGCTGGCTGTTAGGGCGCTTGACTCGCAATCTGCAGGTCGCCGGATCGAAATCCGTCACCAAACATGTTTGCCTTTTCAACCATGGAAGCGTAAGGGTCAATTCCATCATTCGTCTGAAAGAGTACCCCAAGAGTTGGCGGCGGGGTTGGGGAGTGTTCACTAGTTGCCTTCAAAAGAAGAAGACAGACTAATGTTCCGTTGAAACATGTAATATGTTTTCTACATAATTGTTTTGGAATTATCCTTATAAATAGTTGTTTATTAACGTATTAGTGAATTTTCTTATTGAGAGGTTCTGATGTCAGTGAATTAATGCTTAATTTTCTCGATATGCATTCAGTACTATGTGTCCCCCATCAGCGCAGCAGTAAGTCTAAAAGCTTATAACGTTAAAATCGGGGTTTCAATACCCGTGTAGGCACAGAACAGATAGCCCATTTTGTAGCCTTATATTTAACTACAAACAAACACAACAAATAAGACTAGTTTATATTTTCATTTGGAAGGATATTCTCATAACTCTTGACACTAGCTCCACCTGGTATTTTTAAAGTTAAGTAATAGAAACTGGTAAATGTTGCATACTAACAGAAAGGTATATAACGTTTAAAAAATATAAAAAACTTTCACTGTTTAAAGTTCGACACTTTTATTTTTTTGTTCTTGAAATATCGTTTGGCAACTACATAAAGAAAGTTAAGGTAGATTCTGTCATAATATAAAAAATATTAAAAGTGAAACCACAATATTTAACTGTACAGAAAATTAAATATCAGTATTTCGCAGCTCGGAAAATTGTGAGAAACAGTGTCGAAGTATAAAAAGAAATATGAGACACATTTTGCTTAAGCCTAAAAAATTAAAAAGATGTGTTGTGTCAATACAGAGAGTTGAAAAACATCGTGTCGCAAATTATAAATTCGAAACAATTTGCGTCACTATATAAAAACTTAAACTTCATTCTCCTGCACTTTGGAAATTGAGACACTATGTGTTATAGTATAAAACCAACTTGTAAATATAATTAAAGAAATTAAAAAAATAAGATTTTCCCCCTAGATTAAAAAAACAACTAATTTTCATATTGACAAGAATCAATTTGTATAGACGATAACATCTGCCATTATGTAATTAGCCCCCAGTGGCACAGCGGTATGTCTGCGGACTTACAACGCTAGAATCCGGGTTTCGATACCCGTGGTGGGCAGAGCACAGATAGACCATTGTGTAGCTTTGTGCTTAATTACAAACAAACAAACAAACAATTATGTAATTAGAAATTATTCAAATATAAAATACCCAAACCCTATTATATGCTACTTCTTGGAATACCCAAGCTGCAGTCTCTTATCTGAGTAAGTTAACTTACAGGCCCGGCATGGCCAGGTGGTTAGGGTGCTCGACTCACAATCTGAGGGTCGCGGGTTCGAATCCCCGTTCCACCAAGCATGCTCGCCCTTTCAGCCTTAGGGGCGTTATAAAGTGGCGGTCAATCCCACTATTCGTTGGTAAGAGAGTAGCCCAAGAGTTGGCGGTGGGTGGTGATGACCAGCTGCCTTCCCTCTAGTTTTTCACTGCTAAATTAGGAACGGCAGATAGCTCTCATGTAGCTTTGCGCGAAATTCAAAACAAACAACCGTTAACTAACTAAGTTAAAGATCAAGCTGTGATTGGTGAATTTGATATTTTTTAGTTTTCTGGTAGTGAGTTATACCACATGTTTTCAAAGTTTTTCCCGTATTTTGTATTGTTAGAAGGGATTGTAAAGAAAAAATAAAATATAATCCAAGTAAAGTTTCATATTGTAGGGAACCAGCGAAATATAGCACTTAAATTGAAATATCGAAGAGACAAGTGTTATTTTAATTATAGTATTTTGGCACTTGTGTATAAAATTAAAATATTAAATAATAT